AGTTAGACCGTTCAACCCTTCCGAGCACTCACAGCCTTAGCTCACAGGGATGACATAGTATTCAAACGCGTGACCAGGGTCAAATGATGCCGCGCTACTTAACCCAACACAGCCACTTTGCAACATCACCATACTTCAGATCACCGCTAATAACACAATCGATAAAAAAATTATGAAAAAATTACATAGAAAAATTCAAATATTTCTACCAATTATTACGAGGAAACAGACAGCATAATAAAGAAGACAAACATAGTAGTAAGCCAAATAAAATTAACTCAAAAACACTAAAAAAAGATTACTGAATTACCCGGAAATTGGTGGCGTACGCCGTCAAATTGATTAGAATATTCTGAGCTCTGAATTACTTTCAATCTTTAACATTATGTGAATTGTGTTTTGTAAGACCTCTATGGTCGTCTCGGATCCAAACCCGTCACGGGTGTTTCATGCAGTTGTCAGAATACTGCTAGTCGGGACCAAATCCATTCGAAGATCAGCCGCAAAATCTCGGTCTGCTTTCGTTTCACAATGACTTTGTTCCCAATGTTTGGCGAGCACCGATACTTGCAAGGTGTGGAACGAACACCTCTTGCATCGTAGCTCTTGACCAGCTAGCCGAGCTCGTTCGTCATCCGATGCGGGAATGTCCAGCTGAATAATCGCATCAGACGAATACACGGTGACCCAATTGAATTAACTCACTCGAACGAAATCTGGAGGCTAAAATAGCATTTCTGCGGAGTTGTGTCAATGACTGGTCCAAATGATGATTTTGCTCGTGAAAATCAACAATATTCTTTGTATTCGCCGAATAATCACAAATTCTGAAACCATGAAAATATCACATATAAATTAACCCTTTGACGACCGCGCGCTCTAAACGTGTCTGGGATGTGGGAACGCACGTGTTTTTCGTGAGACGCCGTGAGTTTCAGTCTTTGTTAGAGTGTTTTTTTTTGTTGGCACTAGCATTAGCATGAGTTCCTACCATTCTCCTAGTGTTTTGTAGGAGGACCCTCACAATCATTGCTTGCAGACTCGCAATTATAGATGGCGAACTGTGACCTTTCTGCCGCGGCCCGCCGCCGGACCATACGGTTCCACGCGACCGATTTGGTGTGGGCCGCCGGCGGGCCATACGGTTGTCAAGGGGTTAATATTCAGTTGCATTTGAAGTCTGGCTCAGAATTCCAACACAGAGCACTGGAACATAAAAACTACTTACCGACATTTGAAAACAGCATTTTGCGTGTGCATTTCTAAATGCCTTGAGAATGCCACTGAGGTGTCACATCGAAACGCACAACGAATACAAGCATGCTAAAATGAAAACTTATTCGATGCACTCGAAGAATATTGTCCAACATATTCACTTATTCAGTACGCCTAAGTAACTACAGTCCATATCTCGAAGTCTGATTGGGCGTGTCACCGGAAATGACGTGGCAGCCACCGCACTTGATAGATGTTGTGTGGATAAAATACTCCGCCAGATATCAGCAAAGCGTGTTGGAAGCAGCTTATCCGCGCAACTTCTATCAAGTGCGGTGGCTGCCACGTCATTTCCGGTGACACGCCCAATCAGACTTCGAGATATGGACTGTAAGTTTAGTTGAAGAAAGAATGCAAAAAATCCCATCATTAACACAATGACGACAGCATGACGCGCATGCGCGTCAGATTTTCACGCGGATCAGGCTCGTTCTGTTTGAATTACTTGACATTTTTCATAACCCAGGACTGTCTGTGTACATTATCTTACTCGGAAAACAGTGCACCAACTACCAAGTGGAACTACTGATGGACGATTCTAAGAAAAAAAAAAGTATACAAAATTATGCCAAGCTACGCCTACAAACGTCTGTCGTCAATGTATCAAACAAACATAATGAATAAAATAAACGAAAAATATAATTTACCTGCTTGTCACTTTTCTTAGCAACTCGCTTCATTTTGGCGCTTCTCCTGCTGTCCTCTTCTTGCTGGGAAGCAGCTCGTTTCATTTGTGTTACTAGACGCTGTTGAATGTGCTAAACAAAGTTTTATTACAACAATATTCCTAATTTTGTTTGGTTTCCTGAGGAGAAAAAACAGATTATTGGCCTGAGCTGTTCACAACTTAAGATACGTTGAACCAATCAGTTCCGGTGATATCAGCGAACTAATGAAGGATCAAGAACTGAGCATCCGGCAATGATCCACTCCGTTTGCGCCACACACTTCACTTCCATTCAGAATTGCAGTGGGCTTTGAATGCG